AAGAGAAATACTTTTCCTTTTCCCAAACGTTTTTTAAATATTTGAGAAATATTTTTTCAGATCCAGATACACTTAAGACAGACTAAAAATCAACAGCTACACATGACAACATACTAAATAATCTGATTACTGATATTAAGGGAAATCCTGGACCTCAGATTCTGTGCGGCTTCCCTGACTGAAGGAACACTGCAGAAGTTTTATTTCATCAGCTATGTTAGTTACATTTCCTGTCCTGATAAATGCATACTACAAAGTTCAAAAGCACTTCAGGTTATCAAATTCCCTTTGATTACTTAAGTTTAAATAATATATCAACCTTTCATCACCCTGAAGAACTTTCAAGGTATTCCACTGCTGATTTTATTTTCTCAAAAAACAACCCTATTTTTTTTCCTATTCTGCGTTAATTCAGCTTAATAGTTGGATTTCTGTACCGTAATTCCTTATTCTCTGTGCATTTCTTGATACTTAATTACATGGAGACTGAAATTTTAAGTTAAAGCTGATGGATTGAGTATTATATTACTATATCTATGTAAATACATTTTACAGAAAAAAATTAAAAGACTCCACAAGTTCTGTTAATCCTATTCACACTAAGTTTGCACTGCTTTAAGAGATCATTTGAAACTCTGCTAATGTATTAGTGCTTACAGGGAATATATCATACAAAACTAAGCCTTTGTTCATTACTAGCTGTCAAAACATTTGTGTTACCAGGTACAGTAAAAGTTCTATAGATAGAGTCCTTTTGAGATATGTGGTTAAACCATTGTTTCTTTGAAGGCCATGCTTGCAACTAGTGTAATCATGGATAATGTTATACTTACAGCAAGAAGTCTGTCCCAGAACTGATAGTCTGACATCCATGAATGGCCTAAACTTTCAAACTCAGTGAATAGTTCTAGGAGGAGCTGCTTTAACATGAAGTACACCAGCTCTTCCTGCAATCATTCACTAAATGGGTTTGTGCTCACATAGTACTTTGACCCATGGCATCCTCACTAAAATAGCCAAATAAGTCAAGGTAATATTTTCTGTGAGTCACAAGTCCTTTAGTGCATTTTTTTGTAACTATCAACATTTAGTTAATTTTCTGATCCTAAGCCTGGAGAAAGTATCCTGAGGACTGTTCTACAGTGCAGGTGCTTTTTTCTTCCTGCCCCAAGCAGAGACCGCTTTCTTTTACAGGTTCAGGAGTACTTAGCTTTAGAAGTAGTTGTTGAATTTTCCCTGATGCAGGCTGATGAGGAAAGACCAGTCCGGTGGAACTGTCTGCATCCTTTCTTGGGGCCAGGTAACCTTTGGACTCTAGAAACTCTTGCAATATTTTCTTTTTAGCTTTGTGCAAAGACCTTTCACCTGACTAAGACAGCTAGCTACAAATCTAGCATCCCCAGGGCATTCC